TTGGTTTTTCGGGTTTTGTTGTTTTTGTTGTTGTTTTAATAAAGCTCATGACTAAGACTGTAGGCATAATAAGAGTCAAAAGAGAGGGCGGCTGTTTTTATAAAGCATGAAGACAAATGGCATAGGAGAGATGTCTGTGTCAATATGGTTCAGCATATAAAGACAACCTAACTTTTGCTGTAATTTATTGATTTTGAACTCCTCTATAGATGACATGCAAATATATATTCAGAAAGCTAACTTATTAATTTTTAATAGCATTTGTTGATATAATTCACATCATAAAATTCACCCATTTAAAGATAAAACTGTTGAATTTCAATTTAAATAAATTTTACAAGACTGATTTATTAGATATACACCTTGTTTTCAAGTGTTTGTAGAATATTTCCAAAAATGATCTTATACTAGGACACAATTACTGTCTTGATAAACTTCAAAATTTCATAGTCTGTATTTTCTAACCACAACAAAAACTAGAATTTAATAACTAAAAGTTAAATAAAAAATGTCAGTCACTACAAATGAGAAAATATTTCAAACAATTTAGGGATAAGCAAGGAAATACAGCCAAAAATAACAGTTTAGAAAACAACAAAATGAGAAACCTATGTATCAAAACCTGTAAAATGGGAAGAGCAAAGTGATAATCCAGAATGATTCTTTGAAACACCAAGAGAATTAAGTTCTAGCCAAACTAATCAAAAACACAGTAAACACAGAAATACACGCATTTGAAATGGAGAATAGAAGAAAGTACCATACATTTCTGTACTTAAAGTTTTAAATCAAATTAATGCTGGAAGTAGAAAACCAAAAGAGAGATCAGTACCATGGGAGTTGTTTTTAAACTATCAACTAATTTCTTCGAAACCTGGCTCCTGACCCAGATGGACAGGTGAGTTCTTTAGCCCTTTAAGGAATTTTTCCATGTTACATAAACCGTTTCAAAGTCTTGAAAAAGATGGAAAGCGTCCAGATCATTTTACAAAGTCACAAAACCCTGAAGTCAACCTGACAAAGATAGCAGCAGAAGGGGGGAGAAAACTATAGACCAATCCCCAGTTAATGTAAGCAATGCATAACATAAAAAATTATTTCTCTCTTTTATTCAGTAATACTAATTTATGTTGGTCTAAGTCAATATCTCAGACTAAAGACCTTTTTTTGTGATGGGTCTAGAGACAGACTTTCTGAGGAGGTGACTCCTGTCTGTTGAGGACACCCTGTGTCTTGCTTGGTAAGTCCTTAACTTGTGTGAGACTGAGAATCAGATAATGTTTCCTAATAAACATGCAAAGATGAAACTGTGTCTGAGTGGAGATAGGAAAACTGAGTTTGCTCAACATTATGCTTTTCTTAGAAATCCGAAATATCCTTACCTTAAAGTAATAGGGCAGAAAGAAAACTACTACCCAGGAGGCTACCTTGCTTTCAATGCCATGCCCCAATTTTTAAATGATCTCTTGTTTTCAGCAAACTTTAGATCCACTTGATGAGGTCACTGCCCTCATTGCAGCCACTGTCCATGACCTGGACCACCCCGGGAGAACCAACTCCTTCCTGTGCAATGCTGGCAGTGAGCTGGCCATTCTGTATAATGACACTGCTGTGCTCGAGAGACACCACGCAGCCTTGGCCTTCCAGCTGACCACTGGTGATGATAAATGCAACATCTTTAAAAACATGGAGAGGTAAGAACAATGAGGGGGCAAGTATATTTCCTCTCTCTTTTTTTAAAAAACAATTTTATTAAGATATAATTCATGTCCTCTACAGTTCACCCGTTTAAAGTGTACAGTGGTTTTTCTTACATTCAGAGTTGTGTGACCATCACTACAGTCGAAATTTAGAACATTTCCATCACCCTGCAAAAGAACCTCGAGCTCATTAGCAGTCTCTCCCCGTTCCCCCCTCAGCTCCCACAGCTCTAGGTCTGCTTTCCCTCTCCATAGATTTGCCAGTTCTGCACATTTCATATAAATGGAAGCATCCCCAATATGTGTCTTTTGTGTCTGGCTTCTTTCACTTAGCACGATGTTTTCAAGGTTCAGTTCCTTTGTGTCTTGACATTCCAAGATGACAAAGGATGAGGCTGACACCTCGAGAGACCCAGAGAAGCTGTCACCTTACATCTCTGCCTGGAGGACTCCACTCTGCCCAGCAGACGTCTCGTCATTGTCTCTGTTCACAAGTCACTTCTTTGCGGAAACCTTCCCTGACCCCTCACATCAGTTATTCAGTCCCAGGTTCCTTCGTTTGTCTGATTCTGGTTTGACTCTTAAGCGCTGTAAGATCACAGTGTCATATGTCTTCTCTTCCTCACTGTGCCCTCAGTGTCTAGCGTGGGGCCTGATAACTGTTAGGTGGAAGAAGTGATCTTTCATGAGGAACACTTACCAATTTGGATTTTTAAGGAAGGCTTTTAAACTTCTAAGGGATTTAAAAGAAAGAAAAACTCCCTTTTGCCGTGTTTTAGAATTTCATATGTGGACTTAAAGTTGGTTTTATTCATAGTTGCCTGTATATACATCAGTTACCTCTGGAAAAATTCACTAGACCCTGATAACTTTGGTTGTCTCCTGGGAAAAGAGCAGGGTAGCTGGGGCTGAATGGAGATTGCAGTTTATACTCTTTGTACCTTTTTGAATTTTTAATTATATCATTTCCATGCTCAAAAAATAAAAATTTTGAAGTAATTTAATAAAAACAAGGGCTGGAGGAAGAGGTATTAAGTATGCCCTGTGATTCTCTCAGCTTTCAGAAGGTCTGCCCTCTACGTTTCTGGGCACTAAAATTATTGGGTCTCAAGGTTCCTCTGTGTAGGGTACATTCTTCATAACCCAGACCTCCGTCTTCATTCAGAGAGCTGGCTTTGGTCACCCCTCCTGCATTCCATCTTAAGAACTATGTGCTTTTTACTTCAGAACGACAACATCATGAACATTGTGTCTGTAGTCTCACCCATAAGCTTATGATTTTAACTTCTGTTCAGGTTCCCCTTGCTAACAGCAATCTAGGCAGTAAAACCTTTAACTTCCACATTCTTTTAAAGTATGCCCTGCCACTGACTTCCAGTGCATTAGAATTTTAGCCACAGTGGACATGTGTCCTAGATAATAGCTTGTTTTCAGGAACATCTCTGTCTGGTCTGGATCACTAATCAGCAGCAGCCTCTCTCGTTTGTTGTCTGAAGCAGGAAT